TTGATACATGATATGTAAATTAGTAATGTGTTTGTTTATTTACCTATTTTGCACATATTTGTATTATGTGTATTGATTATATAAAATAGTATAGTTATTAAGATCATCATGATTGCTTGTAAGAGTATTCAATATCTACAAATATTATATAGATCTATGCAGTTAACATACTAATAAAATTTAAATATTAACTAAAAGTAGCTTTTAATATTCACAGATTAAACTCTTTCTAGTACACCTCACGTACTAGATAAAAAACTACATAAATATTAAAAACTTGACAGAAGTACTCTATAAATAACACTAAGAATATAGAGCTTTAGTATCTAAGAAAAGAAATCTTGATATGGCCTCTCGCAATACTCAAAGAAGTAAAAAAATCAAAACAAACTACTCAAACACAAAAAACAAAATCTTTGACTTGTCTTCAGAAAATCTTAAAGAAGACAATATAAAAAAAGAACTAACAGCTAGTGATATAACTTCACAAAATACTCAACAAAATAGACAAAACTTAAAAGAAATTTCTAACTAAGTAACTGAAGTCGAAGCAAAAGCTGAAAAACAAAAAGAACAAAATCAAAGTTTCTCTTTTAAAGAAAAGAAACACATTATTCTGAAAACAAAACAACAAAAATTGAAAACAACAAAAAACATATGACCTCATCAAGTAGCTTAGTAGATGATCATTATTACGAATTTGGCTTCTTTTCATAAATATTATCTACAACAATCAACTCTAACCAAACTAACAACAAAGAAAACAACAACTCAAAGAGCAAATAGTAGTCTGACTTATTCTCTAAACTTAAAGAAAGAAAAGCTATCTACAACAACTCTTCTTCTAGATTCAAACTTCATTTCAAAAATAAAAATACTTTAATTATTAATATACAAACTTTGAATAATATTTCATCTAACGAAATTATCTCTACACTTGCAACCAAACTAGGAGAAGATCTTATTGCAGCAAAGTTTTACTTTTCTAGAAGAAAATACGTCTATTTAGAAGTAATTTTACTGAACAGATAAAAACTCCAATTCTACCTTACTGAAAGAATCCCACTCTTTAAACAAACCTTGTTTAATTATATTCTAATAAATCTGAAGCATACTTTTCTATCAGTTAAAATTAGGAATATACTAATAGGAAATACTAAAGAAATCAATAATCTTATTCTAGAAGCATTTCAAAACTTTAGTTCTATTACATCGATTAAACCTCTTCTCTTCGAAGACACTAATATTTGTTCAGACTAATAGTTAGTTAGTTACATTTGAAACTACTAAGGATCCAGAGTTGGCTTTAAGGCTCTCTAGGAATACTCATGTTGGTAACTACAAAGTAATAACTGACTAAAAAGATGCTCCTAAAATATATTACTATTGTGAAAAAGAGGGCCACCTTAAGAAAGACTGTGATGAACTAAAAGTATCAATAGAGTTTAGAAGACTTTTAATGGAACAAAAGACCCAAAAAATACTCATGTTACAGACTCAAATACTGAAAGTAATTTCAGTACAGATAACTCATATATCGCAAAATCTACAGAAGAACCTTCTAAAGCAACTGCTACAAACAAACAAAATATATCTGATAACTCCTCTAAATCAGAAACCTCTACACCAACCTTGAAAAAAAAAGAAATCAATGATAAAACTACAAAAACCTCAAGTAATTCAAGTAATACTCCTGACTCAAATCAAGAAGAAGAAAACAACATGAAGAATGTTTTTTACACAATAATAATATTCAAAAAATGCAAAAAATCAGACAAAAACAAGAAAACTACTACTATAATGAAATACAAAAAAGAAGACTCTGCAAAGAGTCTTTAGAATCATCAAGATTAAAGTACTACAACAACAAGTATAGCTAATACATTCAAAATTCTTAAATGATTAAAATAGCTATACTCAATATAAAGGGTTTGAACAACAAATCCAAAGCTCAAAAAACATTAATATTACTAAAATCATATCATCTTGATATAATAATAATACAAGAAACAAACCTTAAAAATAGTAACATGAGAAAATTTCTAGCTCAACAATGGAATTATGATTTTTTTTGGTTCTCCAAAACAGCAATCTTAGCTAGCAAAAAAAATATTAAATTCAGAGATTATAAAGAATTCTATGAAAGTCAAGTAATCTCAGTAAAAACAGAAATTAAACAACAACTATTCACTTTCACAAATATATATACACTACCTAACTCTGAGAACAGAACAACTTTTTTCAACAATTGTTCCCATCAGAAGTTGAAGGACATATCAACATAATTGCAGAAGACTTTAACACTAATCTAAATTTAAACAAGAACTGAATAAGCTAAGCTAAAATACAAAATGATCCTTCCAGAACATTAGTCAAAAGACTAATACAAAACTTTGAGAATACTATCTCATTATCAAAAGAATATTCTTTTATTACTTTTTATTAATACATATATAATAACCAACTGATAGCTACATGTTTGAACTATATCTTTATTAATATAAATCAGATCTATATATACAAGAATACTTGTATTCATTTTAGTAACTCTGACTATCTATGAGTTAAAAGTGAACTTGTGCTCAAAGACTCCCACAGAAACTCCTGCCTCTGGAGATTTAATAGAAGAATTGGGCTCCTCTCTAAGATAAAAACTGATATAAACAGTGAACTCAAAAGTATCCAAGACATAAAAGAATAGGATTTACATAAATATTACATACAATCAATTATTAAAGCTCACAAACCTAAGCTTCTTCCAGAGAAGTCTATTCACAGGATTTAAAGAAAACTCTGTAAAATCAACAACAGTCTAGCAAAAAACTCAGATCTGTCTGAACTTCATCTAGTTGTAGAAGAACTTAATTCTCAGCTACAAGAACAAACAACTTTACTATTAGAGAAATAGCAAACAAGATCTAATGCAAAATGAATTGAGGAAGGAGAAAAATTAACTAAACACTTCTTTGATCTGTACAGAACAAGACATTCAACCTCTTGTAGTATACTAATCAGAGATCCTAACAATCCAAATTACACTAAACAAGACTTTGTTATAAATTATATCAAAGAGTCTTATTAGAACCTATATAAGACTGAAGAGATAGACTATAACATAGCTAAAGAGATAACTCAAAACATGCCACAAATAACAACAGAGCAAAACTCAACTCTAGTCAAAAGTATAATAAAGAAAGAAATAGGCCAAGTAATAGACAGCCTACTAAACAACAAATCACTAGGATCTGATAGACTTACTTATAAATTCTACAAAGATAATAAGAATACAATCCTGCTCTTTCTAAAAGTTTTTTTTAATAATATCCTAAATACAGGTCAGATACCTAATTCATGGAGCAAAAGTCTCATTACACTAATCTCTAAAAAGAATTCAAAATTACAAGATATTAACAACTGGAAGCCAATCTTCTTAGTTAACTATGACGTAAAAATTTTTATGAAAATACTAGCAAATTAGCTTAACTTGATATGCAATACAATTATTGATTCTGTATAGAAAGGTTTTATAGTAGGCAGACTAATCTCAGACATAGCTTTAGATATTATAACTGTGCTAAGAAACTAGAATGACCAATCTAAACAATACTGGCTATTACTTCTAGACTAGCAAAAAGCCTTCAACAGAATCAATCATTCTTTTATAGAAATAACTTTGAAGAAGATAAATTTTGAAACAAAGTTCTCTAACATAGTAAGCTCCCTATTTTCATCACAAAGAGCTTATATAATAGACTCTAACAGAATCTCAAAACTATTCAAAGTTGAAAGAGGTGTCAGACAAAGAGATCTATTATTACCTCTTCTCTATATATTAGAAATTAACCCACTTTTACTTTCAATTACTAAGAACCTAAGAGGAATTCTGGTAAACAATATACCCTTCTAAGCAATTATATAACTTATAACTCTTTCTAATAATCCTTTTTTTCAAATAACTGAAAAAGCAAAAAACAAAAATTTTGTTGAAGTATGATGAAGAAGACTCTTTTACAACAACAGTTTTTACAAAGGTCA